CCCCAAAACCCCAAAACCCCAGGAGTCAATATCAACAAGATAAATAAGAAAAAATACTTTAAGAAATCAATTAAAAATAAATACAATTTAGATTAAAATCTATATATTTTTACTACAATGTCACCTTTGATTTGATCATCAATCAGCCAGTTGCTCTTCTGTAATAGGAAATGATCCGAATTTATCATTCCATTCTAAGAAGTAATTTAAATCTCCTTACTTAACAGTAGCCTTTACATTTTTCAAAGCTTCCTTGAAGTCTTCAAGTGTTACTGGCCTTATATTCAATATATCAACATTGGCTATATCATCGATTTATCTTAAAGGCACCATAGCTGCTTCTTAGCTGAGAGTTTTCAGGTCTGCTCCAGAATATCCCTTTGTCATCTCAACTAACTCCTATATTGATTTATCGTCTAGGTTTATTTAGTGCCCTTCATCACCATGTGACTCTCTTTCTACCATTCTTTGTATAAACTGCTTTCTTCCTGCAGAATTCGGTAACGGTATATAAAGTCTTTTCTGCATTCTTCTTTTCACAGCCTCATCAAGATCATCAGGCCTGTTAGTAGCTCCTATGATCAGAATCCTAGAGTTTTCCCCTGCAAATGTATTTGCTCCGTCCAGCTACACTAGAAATTCAGTCTTTATTCTCCTTGAAGATTCCATGTCATTTTCATTTCTTGCACACAATAAGGAATCAATTTCATCAATGAATATCACACAGGGTTGATGAATAGCAGCTATTGCAAACATTGTTCTGACCATTTTCTCTCCCTCTCCAACCCACTTTGAAGTCAAAGTTGAGGAAGAAATTGATATAAAAGTTGATTTTGATTGAGCTGCGATAGCCTTTCCCAAAAGAGTCTTACCAGTACCTGGTGGTCCAAAGAACAAAATTCCCTGAATTGAATATAAATTGACAAAAAATACTTACTCTAGGAGGAGCTCTAATTCCTTTAAAGATATCTGGTCTTAACATTGGCCAGATGATAACCTCATTTATAGTCTTTTTTGCGAATTCAAGTCCTGCAATATCATTCCAAGTCATGTTGATTTGCTTCTCCATTATCTCATTTTCAATAAGTTCAACCATCTATAAACATAAGCTTAACTTAAAAATTACTCTTGGGTCAAGATTTTTGTATCTTTCATCTTGAGGTTCTAAGTTCTCATCCTACTTCTTGTCTTCATTCTAGTATCCATTTACCTAAATTAAATTAATTCAATAGAATCATACCATATGCTATGTGACTGATTTAGCAGGGTTAAAATTGCCTGACAGACCCCCTCCGTTTCCTTGCTACCCCTTAGTAGGAGGCACAAATTTCCGTCTTCCTCCGAGACCAGGCTATCTTCCATTGTTGTTGAACAATTTATCTGTAGCAGTGTCATCATCCTCGTAGTTATTATTGTAGTTATTTCCAGAGTTCATATTATTTTGATTATTATTATAACTATTATACCCGCCTTAATATCCTCCACCTGTACCTTTATTATTATAATTGTTGTTATAATTATTTCCACCCCACTTATTATTAGCGTTATTGTTCTATTAATTTTGCTTAAAGTACTCATTCACTGTCGATGGTTAATTGTCTGCAGCCAATCCTTTCTTTCTCTGCTATAAGTCTTGTTAAAACTTTTATACACCGGTTATAAAACCACCAGTATTTTGATTAGATTAATTCTCTTATCCTCTTTAAGGCTTTTTAGGGATTGATTCAAAAGTATTGAATTCGAAGTCAAGATTAGGATTCTACTTCTTCATGTGCTTTTATACCTTACTCATATCAAGATCACCGTCAGTAGCATCTATATATTTCTGCAGCTCCTTAAAAGCATTTAAGTTTATCTAAGGCTGTTAAAGCTAGGGCTATTATGGCTAATATCGCTTTGCTTGCTGATGGTTATCTTAATCCTGATCAAATCCTGTCTCACTGAATATTCTCTTTTATTAATTTTGTAATTAGTTCTAGTAGTTTTAGCCAGCATTTTAAAATCCAGTTCTGTTATGCTAAGGGTTATTGTTAGATTAGTTGTTGTATTTTTAAAAATGATCAGGCAATACATTCCCTTGAGCACCTACTTCCCTCTTTGGTGCTTTGATGTCAAATTAATTCTAATAGTACTAAGATTAAGTAGGGTCTCTTTCATATTATTTCCAAGTTGTCTCCCTATTCTCTCCATCTGCTTTGGTATTCATATAGTTACCTGCACTTATAGTGATGCCCACCTAATTTTGCAAGATGTGAGCGAAGGGGTTGGACTTTTATTATTATTACTAAATTTATGCAAGCTTGACATTTTCCTCGATTTAATTTACTTACCCTCCAATACCCATACTATTACTATTGCTAATAGTGACTTCATTTTTCTTGTCTTTCTTATTTGTCTAGCCTCCGCCATTCTTCATCATTTCTTAACATTCAAATGCACTTGCAATATGTGGCAGCTTCATTACTTTGTCTTTAAGACTTAAAGCAGTACTGCTCACTTTAAATTTCTTTAGAGATTATTTTTAATGGTTAAATCCACTTCCATTATGCACATCATTTATTTTCTCATTTTCCCTGACCACTTTATCAGCTATCAAACTCACAGCTTAGTTTTAATAGTCCTTTTAAAGTATTCTAGCTACTATTTAGTCATTTTAAAGTACGAAATACTTTGTGAGATTTTTTATTGAATCACATTGGTTTCTGAGTTTGTTTAGTTCTTCCTCTTGCTTATTTTGCCTCTTTTGTTACTTATCTTTCGACTATTCATTAGTAGAATCTTCATCTGTGTTACCGTAGTTAGGATTTAAATTTTTATTGTGGACATATTAGAGATGGGAGAACACAGAAAGATTGTGGAGTTCAGTTTGGTCAAATGGAGTTCTGTTTGGTTTTCTAATTGCTGAAATCGCCATCAATTTTAAATTTAAATAAATATATTACAAACTGACAATTTATTAAGCCGAATTTTAAAATATTTGTTCTTTTTTATATGATTTTTGAAATTTTTGATTTGTTTACAATACAGTTGTATTTTTAGCATCATGGGGTTTTGGGGTTTTGGGG